CATATTTAGTAGAATTTGAATTGCAGTTAAATTTATAGAAAATTCATAGTTACTGATTTGAAGTCTAGTTGATTACACAGAACATTTTGCAAGGTAATGATGCAAGTAAGATTGGCCAACACTTGGTGTTTCATGGTTAGTTATTTAAAGACTGTCTACATTTTCTCATTCTTATTATTAATACATTGTCAGAACAGAGATTTCAGTTTAACTTTGCCAAACAAGTAACCACTGTATTTTGAAAATGGCTGAAAAATAGTGTATCAAAATGCATCTGTAGATGTTTCTGTGGGTGTATATCTGATGCAAGTATATGACAGATCATCACCAATATTCAAATGAATATTGAGATGAAATTGATATCAGTTTGGCCCAAATAAAACTATCTGGTTTGATGACACTGCCATCCATCCACAGCTGAAATGCCAGTATCATTTTCTCTCATTTCTCCATTCCCTCAGTTATTAAGTACTAGCATGTGATGATTTCTCCAAAATGTCTCTCTAAATCATCTTCTCTCTAAATATGGCTACTTGGTTCAAAACTTCATTGTTTCTTAATAGGCTCTCAAATGCTCACCATTCTCTAATTTTAAATGTCTGATAAAGCTGACTGATTCCTTTGCTCCAGCAAAGGCAAATGGTATGTATATAATAATAATAATAATAATAATAATAATAATAATAATAAACTACTATAATTTTACGGTTCTAGGTGTTTTGCATACTCTAACTTACTTAATCAGGAATGAGAATAATATTGCTTAGAGAGATTAAATACCAAATTTAGGTTATATATAAAAAGTGCCAGAGCTGAAATTCAAGCCCAGATCTGTTCCACTCCAAAATATATAAACTTTTTACTATATAATAAATTCTTTCCACAATGGCTATTAAAAATTTTATGTTGGTTGTTGGATAGCTGTTAGGTATATTAGCTTTTTATAACCTGTTGATATGTTAGCTTTTGATGATTTTAAACCATTCCATATTACAGTGAACCCTGTGAGAGTTAGAAATTGACAGACACTCACTAATCAAAGAAAAGTTCCAAATGCCTTGGCCATTCCATCTCATTTTTCTCTTAGTTCTTTCAGCTGGCATAACATATGGTGAGAAGATTTAAGTTAAAATTATAGATAGGTGATATACTTTACTAAAAGTAATAAAATTATACATCGGAATGATGATAAAACAGTTTAACTTGCACATCGACTTGTATATACATTACTGTTGTTGTTGGTAAGTATTGTTGAGTTGGCTCTGACTCATACAACAGAATGAAATAATGCTTAGTTGTGTGTCATCCTCACAATTATTGCTACACGTGAACCCATCATCGCAGATGTGTATGTGCGTGTGTGTATGTATGTATGTGGGAGCAGGTAAACTTTCATGAAGGATGCAATGATGTAAAGTATTTTTTGGATGCCTAGGAAGATGGGTATTTATAAAGTCACCATAGAATTTATCATTCAAACAGGGAGACTTTTCAGAAGAAACTAAGGGCAATATTAACAATTTTGCTGGAGCAACAGCTAATATGGGATGTTCATTGTAAACTAGGACATAAAGATATATCAATAAAAAGTTTGGGTAAGATGGTGGAATAGGCAGACAAACTACACCAACTCTATTCAACAAAGAATAGGAAAATCACAATTAACACAAATACAGAAGATAATCCTAGAGCCCTTAGATTTGAAAAGAAGGACACAGAAGTGGACTAAACTCCAACTAGTAGAAGAACCTGCATGAAAACACCAAAAAAGGAGACATACGGAGCTGCCATCTGTAAGTGACCCTGATGCCACAGACAGCTTGGATATTGTCACGTGTTGTTGTTGTTTTTGTTGTTGTTGTTGTTGTTGTTGTTATGTGCTGTCGAGTTGGACCCGACTCATAATGACCCCTCCTTGGTTTCCGGGGCAGTATCACTATGGACGTAGATTGCCCCATCTTCCTTCCGAGGAGTGGCTGGTGGGTTTGAACCGCCAGCCTTCTCGTTAGCAGTCAAGTGTCTTAGGCACTATGCTACCAGAGCTCCTCCAAGTGGTGTTAGGACCTAAGAATTAACTTAAAAATTGGCCCTGCTAACCAAGGGCTGCACAGAGGACTGCACTGGTGGCTGGTGAAGAGGCGAAGCAGGAAACAGGGAGACAGGCTGCACTGTGGAATTTTGGCTATACAGAGGGTGCAGCCATTTTGAGATATTTACAAGCAGTTCGACCATTTTGGATATGTAAAGTCACAGCATTCTCTCAGATTCCAAGGACCTAAGAATAGGCTCTAGTTGCCAGGGACTGCAAAGACATTCCAGACATGAATGACTGGAAAAGTGTGATATTCCCCCTGTTCCTCTTATACTCTTCACCCTTTTGGTGAATGGATGTGCAGCTGTTTCTCATTCCCACTCACCTTCTGGGCAGCAGGAATTCCATCCCAGTCTGTGTGCTCCAAAGAAGCCTGGGAGCCCTGCCCTGCCCAGTTTTTTTTAGTTTGTTTGTTTTTGTCTGTTTTCAAATTATTATTATTATTATTATT